CTCCCCTCGCCCGGCATCGGTCGACGCCAGCGCCACTGGCGGCTCTTCTAGAACTGCGAATGTGCCGTCTTTCCACGGCCGTCTTGTCGACCGCTACTGGCTGGAGAGCCGACACCGTATTAACTACATCGTGGCTCACGGAATTCCTTTCCCCGACGGTAAGCCCTGTCACGGCGTATGTGCATTTTTGGCACACGGCAGAAGTCAGGACAGTCCGTCGCTGGCTTCGCCACTGAGCTGCGCATGCAAGCAAAGCATTGCGAATTTGACAAAATCAAGGAAGGTGAAGTAGGGGACACTTTAGTTTTCTACCAGATAGTATGCGGACTTCGTGACTCGAACCTGCAACAGAGGCTCCTGGAGAAACCGAAGTTGAATTTGAAGACGACCCTGGATACGGCGTCGTCTGCGGAGACGGAGTGCAACGAACGACATCGACGCGGTGCGCACTGGTAACTCATGCAGCAATAGCAATCAGTTTCTATCAACAGGACGCGCGAGCGCGGGCCAGGATGATGCTTTTGCTGTGCAAGCAGGCCGGCACCAAGGGTGGGTTTCCCAGAGGTTGGGCAGCAGCAAGGTGAAGTCTTATCGCTGTGCTGGAGCGCATAAAGCAAATGAATGTGCCTTGGATCCTGCGGTGCTCATCTGTGTGGGATGCAGCAAGGTGGGTCACCTGACGCCGGCTTGTCTTATAAGCCAAGGGTACCGTGGACGAGTGTCTAGCTCCAGTGCTAGTGCAGATTCTAGTTCTATGAGATCCTCAACAGAAGCCTACACGTTAGCAGCTACAGCTTCAGAGTTCACATCACGAGAGACGTCAGCAAGTTCGATCAAGACTCCCCTTGGGTGTGAACTGTACTAGAGTTGTAGGGAGTCGAGGACATGTGATATTTTTTAATTTGTGTATGCATTACAATAAAATTGTTGCGTGTGCTACTGTATTAGCTTTTCTGTAGGATGGGATTCAGTTTGTATTTAAATAAGTGTGCCACCCTTCACCATTCAAAGCAAATCAATCTGTTCTTTGTAAATTCTAACGTACTGTGAGCCAGTTTGTATTGGTTTTAATTTATTTTTTTCTAGGCTGCTGTAACATAAATTATTTTTCTCTGTGAAATTTCCTTTGTTAGCTTTTTTGAGGGGGACGAGTGTAGCAATGTACTACTTCAAATATACGCGCTAGTTCTGATCCCTGTCATCTGTTCTCCCACTCTTTTGTCATTGTTCTCCTTCTTCTCTCAAACCTTGTGCCGGTCAGTCTTGGCCCAATTCTTGTATGGAGTGTTGCATGGAGCAGCTCAATAGCTCAATAAACTGCATTAGAGCACATGTGCTCCTTCATTTCGCCTTCCTCAAAAATTACTTTAATAACATTAAGATATTTCACACGGCAAAAACGAATGTCTCATTTTTTGAGGAAAAAGGAAAAACTTCGAGGAACTCCCATTATAAAGGACGAGTCCTCCGATTTCACCTCAGATTTTGAGGAACCTTCTCAACAAATAAGGAAAAACCCCTCTTGTTTTTAGGAGACTTCCACGAAATCGGAGAAATTTTTGCAAACCAGAGGGATTCCTTAAAGTTTTCCCTTTTCTTTTCCTCGAAAAAATGAGACATTGTTTTTTTTTAACCGTTAATTTAGTTTCATTTATCAGGGGTTCGTTTCGCAGTTTACACGATACACGGAGTGTTAGTGTTTTTGTTCTTTTGGGTTTCGCTCCAAGCACTTGACAAGTACCCTATTGCGAAAAATTTGCGAACGGTTAGCAGCTCAGAATATCCGTTTGATTACTTGTGGTACTGGGGCCATTTTTCTGCTTTGAAAAAGCTAACGAGCACTCTAACGATGTCGTGCTGTTCCTCTGTGTAAGTAAAGTGACCTGTCCAGCAAACAAAGTTGAATATCCCAGAACATGCTCTTAATTCATATTCAAATTTTATTCGTTTAATTTTCAGCCTCGTCACAGCACGCTCTTTTCATGCACATTCTAAATGACAAAGCACAATGAATGTTAACATAAGTCCAGTGCTAGTTACAAAAATTGTCCTGAGACATTTAGATTAAGTGATTGAATACCCTGTGCAGAGGGCAAAGACTTCATGCGGAGAATGATGACGCGGACGCACCATCAAGCACCGCCAATGCTAGATTTCTTTCTTTCCGTTTTCATTCGCACCACTTGAGCTTCCTCGGTCTTGTTTCGATTCTTGGAGGATGACAAATCCAGGACAGCACGCAGGATATGCTGCAGTTGAGTCCCCATCGTAAGTCGTGTAGGGAGAGCCGTCAG